CGCTGACACGCGATCGCGTACGCAAGGTACGCCGTCGCCCGGAGCATCTCGGCGTCGTCAGGGCCATTGCACTGACAGAACAAGTCGGCGGCGAGGCGGAAGCGGCTCTCGCTCTCGATGTGGTCGTCTTCGCGGTCGTAGACAAGGCCAAGATGGCACCAGCGCCGGGCCTTCTCGACCAATGACGCCGCGGACCCGATCGCAGCTTCCAACGCCGCCTTGATCCAGTTGATCAAGGTCGTGAAAATGAGCCGGTCGACCGCAGTGAACGACGTCTCGGCGCGAATCAACGCAAAGATGCCGTCGCGATCGCTGGCTACGGTCGCCTCCGAGTCTTCGCTCTTGATGGTCGCCAGCATCTCGTAAATCGCATAACTATCGGCAATGTCGTTGAGAAACGTGGCTTCTTGATCTTGAGCAAGTGCAATCTCAAAGCGCGCGCCCAGTGTCACGGCCACGTAGACCTCAAAGACGCACCAGCTCCGACGAAGCACGACCGGGTCGTTCCACGGGTGCATGATCATGACCACGTTGCCGATGGCTGCGAGACCGTTCTTGAACGTCGTCGACCAGTACTCGAACGGGTACGAGCGCGCGAGGTGCTGGTTGTTGTTGAAGACGCAAAACCAAAGGACCGCGTCATCAGCAAGACCACGGGCGGCGAAGAAGCGCTCGAGGCTGTCGACAGTCTCCAAGAAGAGATATTGCCAAGCGTGGCTGACATACCAGTTGGCTGGCGCGACGTAGGTGGCGGTCGACGGGTCGTTGGCGACGTGGTCGACGAGCGAGAGCTCCGACGGTTTGGTCAAAGGCACAACAAACTCAAAGCAGACTTGGGCCGTCGTCTTGCCAACAAACTTGGCTTCGCCGCCATGCTCGTTGATAAAGTGGCGCAAGTACGAGAGGCGGAGGCCGCGATCGGGCGATGCCATGGCGACTCTGAAAATGTACCAAGCGATTGCACTTTCCTCTTCCGTCTACCTCGTACATCTTCAAAACCACGTGGCGGTGGTGTCGGGTTACACACCCCGCCTATCGTGTCGGCGATCGCGCACCCAACTCTCAACGAAAGGGAACTTGGTGCCTAGCGTCGTCCTTGCGTGTACTCTAGTTGACTCTCTGCAAATGTTGTCAAATGAAACGAGCAAATTTCCACAATCACACAGCAAATCTTGGCCTTCTCAGTTTTTGTCAGCTTTGCATGTGATGTGGATTTGCTGAATCAAAATTGGTCGACCAATGGGATGCACGATGGACGCGCGCAATCCCGCGCGAAACCTGGCCTTTGCAGGCGACAGCAGCTGCCAA